TTTTTTTATAAGTATGAAGTGTAATTTTTCCGGTAGAATAACCAATAACAGTGGTTCCCTATTAACGACAAGGACTATTGCCTACAGTAATGAAAAAAATATTTGTATCTTATTGACATTTATAAGTTTTTGGGTAATTTCATCATTGTTATTGAGTATTTTATGATTGTTATTATAATAATGAAAAAAATGGTAAAAATAATTATTATATCAGTCATAAAAATATTTACAAAAATAGTAAAAAAAATTCATAAAAGTGATAAATCACTCAGTAAAATGATTAATTTTTTTTGTACCGAAAAAAGTGTGTGTTACTATAATAATAATAAAAATATTTATATTAAAAATAATAATTTTTTATAACAAAAATAACTTACATAAATTATAAAAATATCGGTTAAAATAGTAGATACCAAATTTTTTTTTTTTGGGTACGTATTGAAGTCCTTAACAATATCCCCCCGCCCTCCTCTCTCTCTCTCTCTCTCTCAGGCACACCTACCACACCCACCGAAAGCTTCAGGACTTGGAATCAATGGAGCTCACACTGCAACAGCTCAAACAATACGACGGCACGGACCCATCAAAGCCCCTATACGTGGCCGTCAAAGGACGCATCTTTGACGTTACTGAAGGCATGTCCTTCTACGGGCCCGGTAAGGACTACTCAATGTTCGCTGGCAAAGATGCCAGCAGAGCTTTGGCCAAGATGAGCAAGAACGAAGAAGATGTTTGTGCCAGTCTCGAGGGACTATCGGAGAAAGAGATCGGCGTGCTTAACGACTGGGAGAAGAAGTTTGAAGCTAAGTACCCTGTTGTCGGAAATGTTGTCTCCTGAATAAATCAATGATGTATATTGAGTATGTATGGTTGAAATGTTGTTATAATGCCCTTTTTGGGTTTGTTTTGGATCTGGGTTTGTTATGGCACCTTGTGTCCAATAATGAATGATTGGTGTTGCTTGTTTTTGGCTAATGGTGTAAGGGATTGCCTACTTGCATAAATAAATGGAGGTTGTGTTAAGTTTCAGATTTATTATTCTTATATTGAAAGCCGGGGTTATTTATCTGGAGTTTGGGACTTCTGATCTGTGCGTTCTGAATTTTGTGGATTTTATGTGGATAATCCGTCTATTGAGCTTTTGTGTTTTCTATTGCGATTGGGGTTTTGCTCATTTGGTTGAAATAAGAGTGTATTGGTGCTAATGATGATCTATAGTAGGTGGGAAATATTTTGTGTTCTGCTGGTATTAATGATAAATTGGTTTGTAAAACAAATTGATTAGGCTTTTCATTCACATATGTTTCGCTGGGTCTTCTAGCCTTCTGATGATGTAAATTAACTTAGAAGAGCAGATGGTATAAATTATGCTCGGCAGCTTGGACCTAAGCCACAAGGCTCGCGATGATCGTAAGAAGTTTTGCTGGGGGATTGGGATGATTTACACAATGAAAATATAGTGATTCCGTAGCTTGGGAGCTCAGCTAGTCCACTCTTCAATGGAGACTCTTGCTCATTTTGTATTGATAATGGGAGACGGAGCTTACATTATGCTTCTATTACTACTCGGGTTTCTTGCCCCATCTTGGAGACATTGTACAATATTTATAGTGCAATTTCAATTCCTAAGAATTCTTAGGCATGATCTTAATAGAATCTTCCTTGATTTTTGGGGAGAGGATCTCGGTTGGTTGAGAATTCTACGCCTGGACTCTAGCCCCGCTGTCATCCAACTGTTTTCTTTTCCTCTCTGCTATTGACTTGTCTGGGGGTGGGAGGGAGTTCCAATCGGTTCCCTTGAGCCCTGCGCATCTGGTCAGACCTCCTGACCTGACTTCGGCTCCTGCATTCATACTTAGCTGAAATTCCTTCTAGGTATCATCAGTTGCCCCCCAGCCCTTAGCCCGAGTGAACTTGGGTAGGGGCTGAGTTAAGGTTTAATTAAGGCAGACCTACACACGTGGACCTCGATTTGCGTGCGAACAGGTTTTTGACGATTTTAGGTAATCATTTACTTCCTTGTTTCTTGTGCACGTTCCCCACTTCGTACCGTTAGCTTTAAATGCCTCTGAATTGAGGGGAAACGACTCATTTCACCCTTTAAACTTCTTCTCTAAATTTTGCCCTCTCTTCTTCCTGTAATTTCAGACTTTCGATTCGGATGGTGCTTCTAGGGTTTTGCTGAAAATCGGTCTCCCCTGATTCAGCTAGTGGCTTTAACGAAGTTTGCTTCTCACCTTCATTTCGCATGTTGGCCCACTGTTCATCCTCACTTAGGTACGCTTCTTGTCCTTTATTCATCTCCTCGTTCTGGACCCCTCAAGTCTAAAGTGATTTCTGTATTTTTGGACTTTTCGATTTTGTTATTTTAGGAACCGAGGTCTATCTCTGTCTCGTATTTCCCTCTTCTTAGACCCTTATTCAATTGCTAGAGTCTTCCTTATTGGCAGTTGTTGTGTTGCCCCCTAGACTCTTAGAGAGTGTTCCGTAAATATTCGTACCCTTTATCATATCTTTAGACTCCTTTTTTCTTGCCCAACTATGTATGCTTCTTCTGGGGCTACCCCTTCCTTCGTCTACCTCCTGAGAGATAGGTTTGTTGAAGAAGATACCGATTTAGGTGTTGTGGGTGAGGAATTGACAGTTTCCCTGGCGTTGATTCTATTGCTGCTGAGGTAAATACTGAAGAACCTCCCTCAACATCCTCTCCTGTGCCCTCAAATCCGAACAAAGGTAAAGACAAGGTGAGTGGCGTGGGAGTCTCTGCCACGGGCATTAGGACTGCTTTCAGAAATGCAGAGCTCGTGGGCCTCAGTGAGGTCACACCTTCTCTCATGAGGGTTTTTAGTGCTTGCTTTGGTTTTCCTCCATGAGTCCAGTATTGGTGTCCAGACAAATTCACCCCATGTGTCTCCCAGGTTCATAAAAAAGTTTGCTTCTTTGTGACTGCCTTTGAGAATGGTCTGCGCTTTCCTTTACACCCTTTTATCAAGAGTGTTCTAAAACATTTCAACTTTTGCTCTGCCCAGCTTTCTCCTAACTTCAAGGGTGTCCTGGTGAGTCTCCTTATTTTCTTTAAGAATCACAAGCTTGGGGTTCCCACCGTTTCCTTACTCATGGAACTTTTCAACGTTAAACATACTTCTTCCGAGGGTTTCTTTGTATATCTCAAAACAAACAAAAGGCCAAACAGATTATCTCTGACCTCCCCAGCTCCCACAAGGGCTAGAAAAAACTTTTTCTTCTACGTGTTGGACATATAGTGGGAGTACAATCCGGCAGATAAGACAGGCACTCTTCCAATCCGTAGAGCCTGGTCTACCCTTGATAATCTGGGTAAGTCCTTGTTCAAGCTGACTATATCGGATTTGGTGACCCTAGCTGACCTTGCTCTGCTTTACGTTCTTTCTCAGGTGTTCGACCTGAGCTCAGTGCTGAGGACGAGCGGGTGCTGTTGAAATTGGAGAAGTGTGACTCAGAAAAATATTCTGAGCTCATTAAGTCTTGGGTTCTTGTTGAGTAAGAGTTCAGCCTTTTAGAGGTAACGATAGAAGCCCCGACCCCAATCTCCATTGTTAGAGCTGAAGAGGTAGCAGATGATGCTTTCTCCATCAATTCCCTCTCTTTTTTTTTTTTTTTTAGCTTGCTCACTTTAAGTCTTCCAGGTTCTTCCTCGATGGATCCTACTCCAGTAGAGCTCCAAGCTAAAATTTCCCAATTAAGGATGACCAGGAGTGGTAGCAAGCATAAGACTGGGCTTAGTTCTGGCAGCGGGTCCACTCCCCCACCAAAAGTACCGAAGACGAGTATGCCCATGGCTCCTCCTGCTCCCATTCATCTGACAGTTTTTTAGTCTTCCTCTTCTCTAATTACAGATGATCTTTCCTCCCGAGGTGCTTTGCTTGTCCCTGTAGATGTTCTTGGACGAGATCAGACTTCTCCTTCCTCTTCTGAGGTCAAAAAGGCTTGGAAATGACCACCCGTGTTTTGACCTCTTTCAATTCTCCTGGGTATTCTGAGAAATCTCCCCTGCCCTTTTGTGGGAGCTCCAAAGTTGAGAAGAGGGAGCATCCTAAAGTGGAGAAAAGTGAAGGTTCCTTCATCGACAATGTTGAACTTGTTGCTGGGGCCATTTCTTATATTCTCCCTGATTCTGACTTTCAAAGGGCCTCTTCCATGTCTCTTGAGGCGTCTATAAGCTCAGCTCTCCAAGGAGCAGCTACTATAAGTCCTTGCATTTTTGTGCTCTCATTAATTCTTATGTTGTAACTTCATGCTAACCTTCACTTGCTTTCCTTTATGTCCTCAGTCAGCTATTCATGTGAAAAGCTTGATGAGTAAGATCCGATCTTTAGAGAACTCTGTCAAAGCTGTGAAGGTATATGAGATTAAGGTCGCCGAATTGTCTTTTGACAATGATGACCTCCGAGCTCAAGTGCAAGACCTTTAAGAGAAAATGGAGAGGCAGGCTTCTACCTTCAAGGGCTTATAGGCTGCAAAAGATAAGGCTGAGGAAGGAGAAAAGAAAGCCAGGGACGAGCTAAGAATGGCCCAAGAGGAGCTGAAACATAAAATCGATGCCTGAGTCAATGCCAGCCAGGAAGCTTTTGCTGCCCAGAGCTCCCTCGAGAACCTGAGAAAGGAGTACGTCATCTTGTCCTAGGCGAATGGTACTCTCTGCAGTGAGCTTGAAGAGCTAAAAGCTGTCGCAATCAATAAAGACGAGGATATTACTAAGCCGAGGGATGCCGTTACTACCAATTGGGTCTCCGGGTGGCTTGTTTTTCAGGACAAAGCTAAGAAGACTTATCTCGATCTGAACTTTGACTTCGACGTCCCTACTGAGGAAGGAACGGAGGTGGCTCGCACAGATGGTGAAGGTGACGCCCCTACTCCTTTAGATATCTCTGTTATTGCTGGGCTCCCTGCTGTTTCCTCTATCATTCCATCTGTTGCCCCTTTTTCTGCTGATCTTGTAACTGAAGCTTTAGCCCTGAATTCGCCAACAGCTGGAATAGAGGTTCCTGCTTCGGGGGTTTCTGAGGTTACTCCTCCCTTGTCTACCTTAGGGCTTATAGATGTTTCGACCGCTGACTTGTCATTGGACTATAGAACCCTTCACTTACTCTTTCTTCAGAAACTTGGGACTTTGAAATTTTTTTTTTTTTTGGAATGCAACTTTACTTCGAATTGTAACCTCAGTTTTTGGAATGCACGTCTGATTCATAGACTTTTCTAAACTATTGCTGTAATTGCTTTTGAGTTGTTGCGCTTGCTGTTATATTCCCCTTGCTCCCCTTTGTCTTGAGGAGTACTCAGTTCTCCTTAAAGCAAAATTGTTTAGTCTGGAGAAGCTGGGAGGTTAATTGAAGTGTTGAGATCTCATGCAAAGAAGACTTGGTTCTTCTAAAAGTAGACTTGGCAAAAGCTTTCACAAAGTTGAGGAGTTGATGGGATTTTGGATCATCGAAATCTGACTTTTGGAGGGTTCTTCCCTGACGTTTGGTGCCCTCAAGGGGGTATTGACTGTTTGAAATTTCTCGCAGCGGCAAGAGGTTTGCTGGATTTGACAAAGAGAGCAAGTAGCTTGATGCTGAGGTCCATACAGGAGTACCTCTTTAGAGGCCATGCTGCTGCAGTTATGAGAATTTTGAAGGAAATTGAGCCTCAACAAGTCTAACCTCCAAGGGCAAAGGCTGTGTGATTGAGCTCTGCCTTGGCTGGGATCAAGGTGTTTGTGTCCGAGTAGGCCCAGGTCTACATTAATTTGATGTAGAGATCTTTCCCAAAATAATTTTGGCTCTCCGAATGATTAGAATCAAATTGGCCGAGCTCAGC